GATAAGAACTATAGGGTTAACATTTCAGTTTCACTTGCCGAAGGAAAAAGACTTTATTACAGGAGTTTGCATCAGCACAGATTCACTGACGGCCTTGGCTTCTATTACAAAATGTGTCGACTGTGGATTCGTTTATTTTGTCACATTCTGCATGCGGTTGTTGTTCACTTCCATAGTTGTGTATTTCTTCAAATATGTCTTCAGTTTGTGCATACTCAACAATTGCAGTACTATAAATTGAGTTTCCAACGAATGTGTAGTTGTTATGTTCGCATAACGGCTGAGAGATTTTAACTCGGACCACTGAATGACAAGGAGAACTGTATCTGCACTTAACACGCAGGTTACTCATTGTCTGTCGATCATTATCATTACGGATAAAAAAAACTCACTTTAATAGTTATTATTATTACTTTTTTATTATGATTTATCTTTTGGATTTTGAGAGAAACGTGGGACTTCACAGTCACATCTTCATTGCACTTGGATCTCTGCAATCACATTCAGTGAACTGCACTACTGCAAACTTGTTGGTTAACGCTTGTAAATCTGTGTTTGTACGACATGAGACATCCGAGAAATTAAGGTCATCCCGTTGGTCCACTGTATAAGTATCTACTCACTCTCCACGATCTGACGCGTGATTCATTCCAAAACAGTCAGGGAAATCATCGTTGACAGTCAGCAGCCTTGTATCGCTCCTGTCTTCAATTAAAACATGTTAATGAGTTTTATGCTGTGAATTATACGGCATCATCAAACAGGTGTTTGTAGTCCTGAAGAAGATACGAAAAACATTTCATGGTTGAAGCCATCGAAGGTCTATTCAGAATCGGTGAAGTTGGGCTTAAAGTCAACTTTCATTCTAGGTTCTATCCGATGATGTTTCATTTTTTGCTGTTTGGTATGCGGATGACTTCTATTTCCTATGCTCAATCTGTTCCGGAATAAGTTTTCTATCCACAGCATTTTCCAGCCCTTCCAAGATAATCTGATTTAACACATTGCTTTGGGGAAACAGGTGTTTAATGCCACACTAGTTCTTGCAAAAGCGTAAGTTGCCCTTCATAAGGTAGCCGTTCTTCTAATTTGTAGGTATGTTTATTTCATTCACCAACTTCAGTAGTGGCATCGGTATGTCTGTTTAGGTGTCTGAATCTGTTTTCAGCGGCTCTAAGAATCCCATCAACTCTGACAGCTTCACCCTCTTTTAAGACATTCAGCACTTCTGTTTATGTTGGAATATAGGTGTTCCCTCGAAGTTCTGTGTCGTGGTGGTGGTAGTTCCGGGCGAAAATCAAGGGATGGGTGAATCAAGAGTCTTTAGGAGTGACTGGCTTTCCTTCACTATATTTCTCTAGATTCTTCTGCGTTACTCTCTTCCTACATAGTAACCTGGTTATTTGAAACAGTGATCTAAGGTCTGTTTTGCTTTAGCTGCCAGTGTATCGTAAAAGTGTCTTTTATCCTTCCTAGCTTTCTTCTTTGCTCTTTTTATTCAGTGAGTTGTAGATTATACTCAGCTTCTGCTTTCTTGCCTTAACAGTTCTACTTCTTCTTCCTTTCTAAGACGTCTATACGTCTATACGGGGTGCCATCGACGATTATACATCTCATCCAACAGTTATGCGGCAATGCTGCATGCCAAGTAATCCAAAACGGGAAACTTACGGAAGCCTACGAAGTGAGGATGGGAGTGAGGCAAGGCTGCCTTCTATCGCCAATGATCTTCCTGATTGCAGTAGACTGGATAATGTGACAGAAAATGGGCGGCGAGGAAACAGGCATAAAATGGACCCACACAAAAACCTGGAGGATCTGGACTTCGCCGATGATATATGTCTGACCTCCCACAAGTGGAAGATATGCAAGTGAAAAGCAACAAGTTGGCAGAAGAAGCATCCAGAGAAGATAGGACTTCAGGTGAACATAGAGAAAACAGAGGTGATGAAGATTCCTAGCCAACATCAACAGCAGCAACAACAACAGACAACAATCAACCAGCATAAATGGGAGGAATCTGAAATAAACAACCTCCTTTACCTACTGACATGGGAAGCATCGTTTCAACTACAGACGGAAGGAACTGACGAGGATATCAAAGCGAGGATCGGAAAAGCAAGACAAGCTTCCATCACTCTTAAGTCTGTGTGGAGGTCAACAGCACTCATCATCAAAAATAAGATACGAATTTTCAACTCCAATGTGAAGTCAGTGCTACTCACTATACGGATCAGAGACTTGGCGTGTCATGAAGAGCACCTCAAACAAACTACTCACCTTCATCAACAGCTGTCTTCGCTCAATACTCAAGATCAGATGGCCAGAAAAGATCAGCAACAGGGATCTCTGGCAATGAGCGAACCAACCAGGAAGTGATTGTGAAACAAATAGGCAGGAAGAAATGGAGATGGGTTGGTTGGCCATACTCTGAGGAAACCATCAAGTGACATCACTAGACAAGCCGTCGCTCGAGTGGAACCCGAAAGGGAAGTGGCAAGTTGGTCGTCAGTACGAGAGTGACATGGAGGAGGTCATGTGAGGAGGAGATGAAAGCATGTGGGCAGACTTGGAGCGGAGTGAAAAAGTGGGCAGAAAACCGAAGGCAATGGAAGCGCAGCTAAAGCCCTATGCTCCTCTAGGAATTAAAGGATGTAATAATAATAATAATAATACAAATTTTATCCCATAGTGCCTTTAAACAAAGTTCCATTTTTCTTCCGCAGTAATAGTTTTCTGCATAGTGTCCGTGAAAGTGTCGTTTTTAACGTCGTCCGTCACTTTTTGAGTGTCAACCCTACTTTGTGGCTCATCTTCAGTTTCTTTGAAGACTTTCAAGTAGATAGAGAAGTTTTACTGCAGAAGAAATTGTAACAACAGAAGACAAGGGCCAGTCAACAGATCCTTTATTAAGGAAATCAACACATATTTATAGATTTTCATGTACATGTTATAGATTATTGTTAGCAGAAAAACATAGTCTTTTCATTGGGTGCCTCTCACTGAAAGTTCATCTTTCATCTCTTTGTGCCTGTTTCTTGAATGTCAGATCAACTATATCCGCCTACACAAAGCCTTTGTTCTCATTTTCCTCAGGACCAATATTGGGGACATAAACATTGACGTAAATTACTGTCCACCAATGTTGACTAACAGCAAGCTCTCATCACAAAAGTAGTATGCGCCAATGCCTCCTCCTCTTTTCCACTTAGTCTCTAGTAGGCTGCATCTCCAGTCCATTCACATTGAGATGGAGTCTGTCTGTTATTCAATGCATCCATCTGATGAAACCCACGTAATCTACTGCATATCCTCATGCTCATACGTGCCATAACCAATCAATCAATCAATCCACAAACGTCTGAGAACAACCCCCCCACCCCACACACACACTCATACCACGGGAAAAATAACCCACTTCATAATTTGTGAATGAACAACAACTCATGTCTAGAATTCTTGCTCCATAAAGTCTTCTTCCATCACATTTACGCTTTATGACTGTCTATTTACTTCCCTGTTTCTGTTTGTATAACAGAATAAATTGTTGAAATATGTACATGATAAAATTGTTGATATAAGTATAAAATTGTTGTCGAGAATACAGTTAGTCATCACTGCTACTTGAATATTATTAGTATTATTTCTCTAAGGACCACACGACCCATGGTCGATTCTCGTCCACTGTTGTCTGCTCCCACTTTCCAACCCACATTACACACGGGATTTCGATGTCGTCAACTCGGATCTTGTCAATGGCCGTTCGCCATTGTCCGTAGAGATCCTATCCCTTCTCCTCTTACCCGTCCTCCCCCTCCTCCTCCTCCTCCTCCTCCTCCTTTGGTCGAAGTTATTTCTAAGAGTGTGTCATTGTGTGATTACATCTACATTGTGTGATTACATCTACCCTCCTCTCGAGTTGGATCTTACTAAAGTGATCCTGGAGGAGATTGGTCTACACCGAGTGGACCACTTCGGTGTTGTTTGTGTCCTCATGATAGCCAAGTCCTCAGTGTGCATGTGGTTGTCGCCTGAATGACCAGAGTAGATTACTCACTCATGAATTCGACCCGTTCTCATCCATTCCACATGGTCCCACAGATTCCCCACACTTGGATATCATATCTTCTCATTTCTACTGCAATCTCACCAGTGTCGTTAACCATTCTATGATGGTAAGTTTACTTCTGTTTTCATTGTCGAGTGACTTATCGAAGACCTTCACCAGCCGGTGTCATCTTTCCTCTAAATAAGTACTGTTTTTGATTCCAGAAGAGAATGATTTATTTTCTCTGTGCTTTATATTTTCAGTAGCGATGGTGTTGCTTTATTAGGGTGGTGTCGCCACTTCAACGTGCAACCTTATCTCTTTTCCAAGCTTAGAATCTCCTAGTGAACTAGACGTGATGTAAATTACGATTACTGTCAGTTTTATTTAAGACAAAGATTAAATGTGTTCTTTATGTGAACAAGTCGTTTTAAAGCGATTTTATGAGTTTAAAAAAAGTATTTAATATGTTCAAGGTAGCTTACATCTGACCACTAATACAAATGTATTCTTTGATTGAAATTTATAATTATTACGTCATATGATTGGAACGCAATCAGAGACAACCATATATATATATATATATATATATATATATATATATATATATATATATATGCAGTTACATGATTGGATTCAGTGAAGCAAATTAAACGCCTACACATACTCACCGGTAGGCTTTAAGATTGAGTAATTAAATGATCAATAATTTCATTCAATCAGATATTTCAAATATAGTGGAGTGATTTACAAATTTGTAATAGTTAGGGTCTGGTTAACCGTTGAAAGGAGCATCCTCATGGATTATAAAATACTTGGGATTATTCACTAAGGATAATATCCATCATTCTGTCATACAACAGCCTAATAGAATTTGAGAGGAATATATCTCTACCACATTTCCTCACAACATTATTTCTCTTCATTGCCGTCCGATTTTCGCTTCTATTCAATGTCTGAATACATGAAGCTAACTTTTCGTACAGACTCTCCAGTCCCGTTAAAACTGCATGAAAATGATGATGAAGATAAAGAGTTCTTATGCTCAGCATTAACATCACCCTCGACGTCATCAATATCATCTTCATGTAAACGTATATGTCTTATTTATGCTATTCTATTATTTATTTTAATAGTTGTTATCCCATTAATATTAAAAATGACATTGTATGGTGAACCGAGTTTTTATTCACTCTTCCCTATCTACTCAATCCTTTTTTCGTGTACAACAATATTTGAAGTGATCAAACGTCTTCGTGCATTACAAAATGAAATTAATACGGACAATCTATCAGATGAATATTTTGCTTAGAAAACAAAACCAAAGATTACCTAATTGATTTGTACACTTTTTTTACTCTCTCCGTCATTATCTCTCTCTCTCTCTCCCTCTCTCTCTCTATCGTGGCTTTAACAACCTTGTACATTTGCTTTTTTTATTCACATACAGCAAAACATAACGAAAAAATGCCTTCAGCAGTATTTTAAAATTTTGATTCCATTCGAAAAAAAGGAGAGAATACTTTTGATCACGACCACCAATATCATGATTACAATCAGTGTATGGAAATTTGAATTATTTTGTTGTTGTTTTGCTCAGTGTAGTACTACTTTGTTGATTTCCATGGATAGTTTGCTACAAACAATACATGGCAAATCAGAAGCATTTATATCTATCCATTCAACATGATTTATTGACCATTTTTTGGAAAAAAAAATTATGTCGCATTACGCTTGCGTGTTTTAATAAACTTTATACATATATATAAATGCATCCAGATTTATGTCAACATTTTATTACACTATAGAATGAGATGAGATTTGTTTTGATGCTCATTTACGTTTTATTTGAAATAGTCGAATTATTTATGCATAGAAATTATTAATTGTTTTAATTTAATAAATTATGTGCTTGGTAAGTTATTAATTATCAATTGAAATGAAGTGTTATAGTCGTGCCGCTCTATACTTGTCAGTATTTGGAGATGGATCGTCTCATGGACAGGGTTAACAATAAAGAATCATCATAGAATTAGAAATTATTTGAAGTATTCTTTTGATGGCTTATCTGTCTTAAAGGGCTTAGAGTTTATTGTTTTGTTTCTTGTACTGTCCTGCAACTAGATTTCCTCGTCCGTTAGCGACTATCACTGATTTCATTGCATTTAATCTCACTGTAGCTGATTTCCTTTTTCCTTGCTGCCATGGTAACACTGACCTGTACACGTTTACATCAACTGTGCAGTTATTGTCAGAACAATTTGAAATTCGGTTGTAAAGTGGACGGCTATTTAAGAAATTTAAAAAAAAAATCCAACCACCAGTCGCGTGTAACAGTATAACAGAAATTATATGTGTTAAAATGCCTTCAACGGATAGTTAATTTTGTTCATTTAATAAATGAATTAATTGTCAGCAGTTTTGATCGCCAGTCGGTATGTAGGCCTAAATGTGTAAAGTTAGCTATATGCGAGGTATATGACTCATTTATCACGTCTTGGGTCGAGTTCAGTTCTTTTTTAGAAAATATATTCTCCATAAAATAGTAAGACACTGAGCAACATGTGTTTTGGCCATTTTGCAGTTTATGAGCACATGGCTGTATTGGGTACAAATCAGTAATATTTGAATTTTAAAAACAAAAAAATTGTGGAAACGTTAACGCCTGACAAGAATAACAAACTACTGACTACTTCCGATCAGGTTTAAAAAGCCAATTTCTATTACTTGGTTATACACACTGTAAAAAAGTACTGACTACTGTAAGTTGAAAAAATGTCACTCATCGGTTTAGGTTTCCAATACTTAGATAGCAACATGCTGTTTGCCGTGACATCAATTAAGTAAGTGGTCAGTACATTATATGTAACCCAGGAAGCTTAAAGTCAAAACTAACTATTCGATTTGGATCACTAATGTATTTTAATACATTGGAATATTTCATATAAACGCCAAACAATGTACATTAATCTGACATCATTTCAGGGGAACATTTTTGTTCCGTTGTGAAAATGTAATCTTTGTCATTGAAATGATAAGGAGAATTACTTGTTCTTAATTTGTCTCACATAAATTTTAAGTACACTTTTACGGATTATGATAAAGTTGGTTTTATTTTCAAATTTTGGTAATATTTTGAGCGAAATCACTCTCCACACACACCCGTCAGAGGAATTTTGTATTGCAGTGAATCAATGTTGAATTTAAAGCATGGGTAAGTTTACACCTTGTGTTAGTATCTATTAGAAATTAGTTTGTCCGACACTGAATTAATTCTTTATGCATGTTAAAGATTCGCCTTATATTCTGTGCATATCTTGTTTTCCGCTTTACCAAACACATAGAATTTCTGCTGCACCAAAGGAAGGCTTCGACACATGACATCACTTACTTCCTTGAGTCAAATCAAAGGGAACTTCTTTAATAAATACGGAACCAACTCTTCTGCAAATGTTACACACTTAAGAGTAAATTTATTTCTATACAGGACATATACCTTAATGGATGTGTCTGTACCCAAGTAAGGGGCTGATGATTCCAGTGACACTAAAACTTAGGAGACATTAACTCAAACTGTAAAGCGTTATACGCATAGACTGTTGAGTTGTAATAATGTTTACTTTTTATCTCAAGCACCTGTCTAGAAGAGTTCGTCGGTGGTTCAACGGTATAACACTTGTCAAAGACGCATGTGATCCGGGTTTCAAATCCTGACTGACGCAATCCTAAACCTCGCTAAGCTGGCAGTAAAGCCCTGTAAAGAGGCAAGGTTGGGAGTGAGACTAGCAATCCCACCCTGTAAAAATTAAAATAAAGCAAACACTGTCACTGAAACTTCAAAACTGAAGCTTGAAGCCTTGTGTTCCACTGGGAACGGGAAGGAATAATTGTTAAAACAATCTGTCTAGAGGATGATCTGTTTATGGTATCATGCTGTGTCCCCCTAATTTTGTCTAATTTTAAAATAAAATATTTTAGAGTCACACGCTAAATCCGGCTCAAAGCATAATCGACTGTCATAATTCGACTGGACAACCATTTGATACTCAACCTAATGCAACCAGTCAAATTAGTTCTTGATAGTATATACATATACATAGTGTATATAATGTACGTTTTGTCTTATAGGGTTTTTAATGTTCTCACTGGCATTAGCCAATTTTGTCTTCTTATTTTCCTTATGGGTTGAGTGCAATAGAAGGTATTTAAGGGAGAACAGTAGTATTCGGTTTTCAGGTGAGCTGCCTATTTCATTTCAGTATCGAACTGAATTCCCATTATTATTTTTATTATCAACAATCACCCACCATATCACATAAAATAGGCAAAGTGTTGATAATCGTGAGACCGACGAACTCAAACATAAATCTATTTGGTGAATAACAGATTACTGATGAGATGCATAAGATCTAAAGATGCGTTGATGACATAAGAGTAAGCCATGGTACATTTTGGCCCCAGAGAAGAAAATATCAGGAAGTATGCACAACAACTCAATATCAACACCTTCAATTTGTGAACGCAGATGAAATACGTCTTTTCAGCAACAATACGCCTTACTGACGAGTTCCAACTAGCACGAAACCTAGTTCCAAGGCTTCCTGACGATTGCCTCCAACTATCTATTATCATACTTACACTTTATCTATTAACTTACCTGTTTGTATATTTTACAGTGAAAACCACTTTAATACCGTAGGTAGTGGACACAGAAGTGAAATTCACTTTATCGATCTCATAAGGTTCAAGGTGCATCTACTGTTACCGTTTCCAACACCTCGCATTAGACAATACCTGTTCGCTGTACAAAAACCGTTGTTTTATTTAAACATACACACACATACACATGAACATACTCTATCTCCCTTACTTTCTCATTTTTGATTTCATACTATCACTTTTTTTCTTATTAAATAAATTCTCTCAATGACACCACCTGACTAGTTATCAAATTTCATTTTTTATTTTATTGATTTTATACAAACTGAAATTTATTACAAGATTACATTAAAAATGAGTTCACTTATGCATGTCAAAGAAATGTGTGTCACATGACTTAGTGTATTCGCATAAAATTTGAGGTTAGTTTCTTGTGAATTGCTTTTCTTAAAAGTAGACTTCGTGTAACTGAATTATCTTCAATGATATTATACTTCTTGTGATTTAAAGTTCTACAGGAACTTCACAGGAGTATTCTACGTGTATAACGAAGTGGTCAGCAGTTTTGTCAATACGCGTGTATTAAGAATTAAATGACTGAACTATGCGATTCATAGGATCTTTTCATCCTATGTTCTTTGATAAGTAAGTCAGTTTTGCTTTGTTATCTCAGTGAAGTTTCTTTCTGTATACTCGTTTTGGTGAAAATAGATCACAGAAAACTGATCATATTCTACTACATTCACACACACACACAGAATTTTGGCTGTGGATCTTTTAAGTATCCTGTTTTCTCTTCTTTTAAACAGCATATGAATGAACCATATTTTTTTGATATGAAATTCAATTACAATGTGAAATTGATGAACTAATGTCACTCTGTGTTTTAAATAAATGAGAATGATTGACACAGACGATTCCTGTATCATTCGTGTACCTTTTATACGATAACATTAGAGCTATTCAGTAAGTAGGATAGCTAAAAATGCCGCTTTTCGGGAATACAAGCCCTACATTATCGTTTTCATGGTGGAAAGCGTGTCCTAAAATCTACTGCTCACCGAAACGGCATATGAATGGACATAGTATTATTCTCATTACATTCTACGTTAGGCAGATTCAAGCGCCTTTTGTACGGATCGGTGAAAAACTGTATTCTACTGTGTAATGCCACATGAGATGACCATTAGTCAGTAGTTAGTAGAATTAGTAGAAGCAAGAGGTGTCCATTAGTTTTTTTTTTCGTGTGAAGAAAGCTGCCCAAAGACTGCACTCCTAGCGTCATCAATTTCAGGTACCTATTTCGTTCCTTCATTTATATACATGTGTAGACCTGACCAGATATGTTCATTCAGAAGTAAGGGTTAAGATTCTAAGAAGCAATCTGTGTAGGTGGAGAGAAAGATTGAATACTGAATCCTAGTTCATCGAGTCTACACCCAACACATGCAACAGAAATGAATCAATGAAAAGTACCAGATATATGGAAGATATTATTACCGCCGGTCAAATTAGAAGAGGATAATAAATAATCTCAAAATTCTATTTCAATTCAAGTACATCACAACATTCTAACAAGTTACTTATTATGACTATAAAAACACTCGCCTTATTTCCCATCTGATTGTAACTGATCAATAACACTCATATTATTATTTCTGAATGTACTTTATCACATATTGATTTTTATTCAAATATCTGGTCAATTCCACACATGTATATAAATGAAGGAAAAAAGTTGTGTGAGTAGCTTGATATAATTATGAGTGGCAATAAATTGTGCTCGAAACGTCATGAGTTAATATTACTGTATAACACTGTGTGACTTATCAAAATAAAATCTTACCTATAGTGGAATTAAACTCTACCACAGTCCCCAAGTTTTATACTTATGCCTATTTCGTTATTAAGTTTATATTTGTTTCAGTGGCGATAATTTCAGGAAGTAAAGTGTTGTTACAAATGGAAATCTGTTCTACTCATAGTATAATTAAATAGCGTTAGAAAATGATAAAAAGTGTGTTCATCGCTCAATTGATTTCTCCAGGATTTATAGACAACTGCAAACTGATGAGCACTTTTTTTTAATAAAAAATAGTTTACTGTTTGGAAAATGTTTATGACTTTTTAGCAGTGATGCAGGTCATGGGCAAGTGGGGCTCAAGTTCCAGTCCCACTTGAACCACTCCAGCCTTTTCAACTCGGTTGTAACACTAACACTTACACTATGAGTGTGCAGCTGGTTTGCATATTAAATAACCTTGACCTTGTCTGCGGAAGCTTTTTCTTACCTCAATCATCAATATTTGTTTGTAATCAATTTTAGCAGTTAACAGTTTTGAAGAGACACTCTGTTACTGCCTTATGTTTCACCTTGGTTTCTCTATCGAATGATGGATAAAAGTGAAGTTCAGAACAAAGGTCTCATTCCTTGCGAAACCCATCATACGGATATGTCTGTACGCTGGTGACGTTATTAACAAGGCCGTTTTACCTGATAAACTTTTAACCACTCAAGCTACCTTTCATTCAGTCAGTACTACTCGTTTCATTTTTATTCAACATTTTAAGTTACTTGTGGCTTTTATTGGACCGAAATAATCAATCACTTTTGGCAACTTACACTGGTTCATTTTGTCACAAAATATACCGATTCAAGGAGAGCGATGTTGATGAGTATGTTTAATTAAAGATTACGATATTGTTCTATTACACACTAAAGACGACAGTCAGAAAAAATACATTTTAACCTTTAAATTGCAGAAATTATAACAAAAAGTGAAACCACGTTTACAATTAACTTTAATTATACATTTTAAAAAATAAATGCTTTCTTGACAAGAAATTGTTAAGAAATTCTCTACTTACTTATTTAAAACCATTTTAGTGCAATAAAGTACATATTTTCCTCAAACAGATATCATGCACCATTTACATATAAAATAGTAATTTATCGATTTTCTACGTATTTTACTCGTGCTTTATATATATATATATAGGCGTATACATAATTTTCGAAAGTTCAGTGTTGTGTAGCATAGTATTTTTCACAATATGACTAATATAAATGTATTAATATTTACTAAACTAATTAAAAAGATTTCGCAAATACAATGTTATTAATTTTGAAAATCAATAACTGTGAATAGTTAATCGTGTATTCACTGATTCAGTCATTACCGATCAATAAATTCGAAATCCTCAAAATTCATTCATAACTCCTCCTTACTGACACATTAACTGATAACTGCAAATGAAAATTGTAACCATGGTGTTATGAATTAGCGTTTGTTTATTAGGTTTTTTGTTGTTATTTTTGAAAGTCCGGTTGTAAAATATTTTGGTGAAACACAGGCTAAACAGTTTGCATCAAAAATCCCTGTAAGGTGACTAATTTCAAGAAAATGCGTCAGAAAAGATGATAAGATGATGAAAGTAAGCAGGACAACAACACGAATGATGTTGCTTAGTAGGTGACTGGTAGTTTAATTCAATGAAAATTGAACTACCACAATATATTTTTGTTTCACTAAAATAATGAAAATGGACTACAGAACCATTAAAAATCATAATTTTCAGTAGAGTTGGATGTATTTTATCCTAAAACAATTTTTTTAAACCTTTATATTCCCAACTATACATGGAATTGATAATATTCAGATTATATGAATAGTTAGAAATCTACAATTTATTTATTGATTTTACTATGTAGAGAATTAGTTATCTAGTGTCATCATTAGTATCTTGTTTACATGAGATTAATAATTACTTGAAATACTGTCTGTTGAAATTATACATTACGGAGCAACTGAAGACTGTTCATTAACTCTGGACCTGTGTTTTCTTCATATTCTAATTAGACTAGTGAGGACTTCAGTGTTACCAGTTACAATTGGTTCCAGTTTTATGGATGAAATTCTACTCTGCTGTCACTCTAAAATTTAGTAGAACATATGTTAATCCTTCACTATATTTATATTTAACATCTTGGTAGTTAGATCATGATCTAGTAGCAGCTAGAAAACTATTGAGAATCAGGCAGTACTTTGTTTATGGATCAAACTATGGATCTCTTTCAAAATTTAAGTTTTCCTATACGATTTAGCAACCTTCTAATTTGTTTACGTTTTATTCCACTTTAATAAATTATTTCTCCTTATTAGAGTTTAACAGTCCGCCCGGTGCAACATAAATTATCCACATACCTCAGATCGTTATCTTTGAATTTTAAACAGTTCTCTTTTTGGAACTGTTCGGTCAAATCTTGTTTAGAGTTAGTATGAATTCCATAGCAATGTAATGTTCATTTTGAGTATTTCATATGAAACACAAATACAGAAAGATGATTACTCGTCACTTCTAGAATAAAATCGTGCACTTCTTTGGTCAGATAACATCGCTTATTAGATTATTTTTATTTAGTTATAGTGTACTTGAGGATTTTTTCTAAGACATCCACAACAATTAATTTGCAATTGAACTTTCGGTTAAATAAACGAAACTTTTGAGTTGAGCATGTACATCCTAAACACAGGAATTGTCTGAAGTATAGTGCTGTACTACATATTAGAATAATGAATAGAGTTTACACACCTCAAATAGTGTATGTAGGCTGAATCCTGTCAAAAGTACGTTAAAAATAAAACTGAAGGACTGTGTCAAAGAACTATCCATGGTCAGTAAAAAACAGTGCGCGAATGTATAGATTGAAATAAAAGATATTCTAATATGCAGTACTCAAGAGATAGTGGAATATGAAGAAAACATGTACAGTAGATACACTTAACTATAGGAAGAAAATTACTACAGACAATGAAAATAACTAATTCCGGTTACGAAATAACGGTACCGTGAAGATAGTTTAAACTCATACTACTTACTCGTAACGAGTAGTATGAAGTCAAACACAATCGAAATAGTAATAAAGGAGAGGGAATAAGGGGAATTAACAGTATTGATCTGATCGGAATTGTCATTTGCATGTTGAGATGAGAATTCACCACAAGTTTAACTTGTAACCTGAAGAAATCACCTCAGAATATGTGATCTGCCTAATACCATAAATGTCAGCCAGGAAATTAAGCGAAGTAGAATGAGTGCGTAAGTTACTGGCTGATACGGGAGGTCGGTGACTCGGTGGCACAGCGGTAGAATGTTTGCTAACTCCGAAGGTGTTTCAGGGTTCAACCCCCAGCCGACGCAGTCCTTTACCTCGTCAAGCCAACAATAGGAATGGTAAAGAGGGAAGGTTGGGCATAAGGCTAGCAACCCCATCCTGTAAAAATAAACACTGCTACAGAAACTTAAAGCCTCTAGCTTGAACCCCTATGTTCCGTTGAGAATATATATATATATAATACTGGTGGTCGGAGACCACTCATGTAAACCAACAGTGCTCATTAGCCAAAATGAAAAGATCTGAAGTCTGGATGGCTGTTTAGCTACTTCGAGACGGAGGTGTTTAGTGATGTGCCGGATTGACTCATTTTAGACAGTCAAATCTGTCCAGTAATTAGAATACTTTCATCTGGCTAATAAGTACTACTGCTTTCTAACTACATAAAACAATCAATAACCTATGTGATCGCACTATTGTTCTCATCTTAAAAATATTGTTCTACCTGGTAATAAGAGTAATAATAAGAATTTCGTGCTGTTTATTTTGCTGTTACAACACTGATGATAGCATCATTAGTCGGTAAGCAATAATGACAAACTATGGAGTAGAAGAATATCTGTTGATGAAGACAATGTGATTATGTTAAATTTACATCTCAGGATCGCATTCTGAAATGAATACAACATTTGCAGCAAACCAGCAGCGGAATCATATAGGCGCTTCATTAAGTCACCATGGTGATAACATGGATACTGTTGGTCCAAATCCTGTCGTGATCTAGGCTGAAGTTACTTGTTTACAAGGGAATTTTATAAATAACTAAATTTTATATGGGTTTTTTCATCTAACGGGTAGTGAATGGAGGTGAAGTGAAAATCTGAACTGCGGGAGAATTCAAAAACAGGTCACCGTGATTAGAGATTCAGATTACTAGATAGTCTGACTAGTAATTTGCTCTAGGTATAGAAATAAGCTAGCCAACCAGAAAAAATTTAAAATGCTTTGATTATCTATTTCGTCCTGGTCAGCTACCTTTTAACAGTGTACACCTACTATTCATGCAAGAAAATGCCAATGCCTTTCTGGTTTTTTTTAGCAGATACACTCTCTCCATATTTTGACAAGGATTCTCGATACAAGACGAAAAAGACGTACAAATTTGAGACCAATCCGTTCCTACTAAACCTTTCAAATGTCAGTGAAGCTGAGGAACTTAAATAGCAAGGCTGTATATATCCTAAGAAACAAGCGAATAAAATTTCTATGAAATTCAACATCTTTAGTGGCTTAATACAATGAAATGTTTCCTATTTATAATTAACTGTCTCTAAAATCCCATCAATGACGAATTTCTTCTCTATGATTAAGATTCTGATACGAAATTTTTTCGAAGGCATACCAAGCTAAAACATGGTAAAAGCAACGAGAAAGAAATAGAATCAAGCAGTTTTGAAAGTGGAATGTTTCAGCGAACGTTTTTACATATTTCATTAATTTCATCTTCAAAATATCTGGAGAACAAAATGCAACTTCATCAAGTCTTAATTTGAGACTTTTCAATAGAGAGCGACTATAATCTCTTGGAAAATGCAAATATCAGCCACGATACCTTATTGCGATCAGGTTCCTACCTGAAAACTCCATCGAAATCTACTGGCTAATGATTTCTGACTTCTGTGACTTCAAAACACAGTACAAAGAACATCAGCTTGTAGCTGTCACGGCAAATGTCTTTACAGCCAAACTAGTTAACTCCTCCAATCACAGATATTTTTGCTTGAACACTGAGAATTCTGTTTGACAACTGTTTACTAACAGGAAGTTAAGTTGTTAGGGTTTGTGATGTAACCACTATGGAACCGAAATGCACCTAGGGCTAAAATGAAGAGAACAAACTGGATTTAAAAAAAACTTTTTATTCAATAAACTGGTAACCTCCCTATCGATGCTTTAGCTGTTTTAATCTCTTTACAGATATGCACTCGGCAGCTGTTTTGAGCTTCTCATTGTGCTAGTTGACGCGTACATCCTCAGAGTGTGTAGTTCAGTAGAACCAGCCAGATAATTTCTTAAAATCTATTCAAATGTACTGCACATCAAAGCATATTTCTTTCTTTTTATCACTGCTTACAGGTTAGGTAAGGTGGTTACTTGGGCACAGGGTGTTTAGTGATTCTGATTCAGTGTAACATAATGACAACACAACCACTTTCTCATACACCATCCAAGAAACTGTGCGTTTCAAAGGTGATTTCTTCAAACAGCAATCTATAAAAAAGATTTAACAAGTATTTCATTCCAGTTAAGTAGTTTGTTAAGATTAAATTATTAGCAACTAAAAATAAGCCTCTTTACATTGAGTATACAGATGACTGCTTAAATATAAATTTTTATGTTTTGTAAATGTTGACTTTCTTCGCTGAACCGACACTACTGATACCATGATTAAAGAGAATTTAAAAATGGTGGTAATGATATGATGTTGAAGTCTGCGAACCACACTGTATGTTGCATTGCATTTACGATTGGTGATAGAGTGAATGTGTTTTGCATTTCTAAAAGGATGACATTAGTGAGAATAGTTATATTTCATTCAAACATCTATTCATTTTATAAGGGATCATGGACTGGGTTACCACAGATTAGTAACTAGATATTGGAGTATTTTGGTTTAGAATAGTAGGATCTAAGTCTGTAAGACAATCCTCTACACTAATTTTTTACATACTAATAAGATTTAGTAATAAAAGTTATTTAAGTTATAAACTCAAATATCTGTGCATAGAGATGAATCAAGTGATAAGTATCATGCCCAATATTCACTTTGAAACATGCAAAAGGAAGGTACTAGCATCGTTTAAAAAGATCTAGTTTTAACTATTTAATTTTTTTTTTTGATTTACAGCTTGATTCCACACTGTATTTTCGGTACAAGTATGGAATTTTCAGCATGGATATCGGTAGCCCAAATTTTGCAGGCCGACCATAGATATCAGGTGTGCGTCGGTGCGGGCTCAAACCCCGGACCATGTGCGTGGTCGGTGAGAGTCCTAACCACTGTGCCACAGACGAACCCTGATTCATGAATAAATAGTGTAAGCAAATATACACACCTCGCCTAATTACTAGATGGTCCTAAGCCTTCCGAA